GCCATCAGCTAAGGCATTAAGGGGTATGTGTGAACTCTGGGGATGAACTATTTTACTTTCTTACAGAATATGGCAGAGTTGAGAGTTAAGAGGAAAAGTGTGGGTTTTATTCTTGCTTGTGCATGAACAAACCAAGCAAAAACATGTGAATTAGAGACTAGAGTTATAGGCATCTATAGACAGGTGAAGGCCCCCAACCCAGAAATTCCTGCTGATTTTGTGCTAATTGGAGATGACAAAGCAAAAGAGCAGACCATAGCAGCATGTTAAGAGATAGGATAGTGACACCCTGGCTTCAAACATTAAGGTAGACATGGGAAGTCAGAAGAATTGTGGGCATGTTTCTATCCCTTAACATCCCCCAAACCCAAACCCAATAATCCAATAAGCAGTTTCCCCAAGCCCAGTGAGAGCTAGCCTAGATTTGGGTTGGAAAAAGGTAATCCTAGTTTGCTTCTGGTGTAGTAGGGTTGGTCTCAAGCAAAATCATTGGGTATCCATCACATATCACACTGTACTTCATGTACAGTCCCCATTTGCTTCATTTTGTTAAAGGGGATAATTAATGCTGTAACCAACCACACAAATTTTAGCTCAGTTAATATATCCTTTTTCATGTGTTCTTGGAGGGCAAAAGGAAGATGGGGGGTTGGCATGGGGTAGAATAAACTCTAACATTGACACACTCATTCCCAGGTTTGCTTCGGAGAACCTGGACGGCCATTGCCAGGACAAGCTGTACAGTACTTCCAGGGATGTTTGCCATAAAAGGAGGAGAAAAAGAATAAATACTGAGGTCTGGGTATGGTCTTTTGGTGTCCCTGGCTGGCACAAAAAGATGTTGTGTCTTGTGAACAGTTGTGAGAGGGAATACATAACAAGGTAGTTCGTTTCATTCATCAGAGTTCAGGGACTGTTTTCCATTTTTTAAAAAAGGCATTCAGGGTAGGAGACCAGGCTGAATTTCTTAGGGGTGCAGGAGGCTGGGAGTCACAAGCTGAGAATAGAGTCATGTGAGTTGCATGGGCTGTAGAGGAGGAAGTTCACAGAGTGCTAGTCTAGTGGTATGGAGGCCTCAAGGTTGAAAAGGAGGAGAAATAGAAGCAGTTACTCTGAGTGGAAAAAATTTGGAATGAGAGAAATATCTAGGGAAGATTTTCTTGTTCAATATGCTGCATAGAACATTTGCAGAGACTCCTTAGGAAAGCTTAAATATTATTCTTCAATGCTTCAGCAGTCAGTTTCTGTTTTCTTAGAATGCTATTACATGCTTGGACCGAACCATGTGAAGCCTCAGTTTTATTTAGGTTACACTCTGAAATATAATACTCCCCTGCTCGAGAAAAGCTTTCCTTGACATCGCTGCCCCCCTTAAATTACTGTCATCTCTGATTCTTCCATTTCAATGGCAAACCTCAACAAACTGTAGCATCACTTTTTTTCACCTATTAAATTAACAAAACAAAATGCAATAATTATGGTAAAGGTACAAATAGCAGTAATAGTAAAACCTATAGCACTTTTTTTAAACATAGCATTTTTAATGTCAGAACTTTGTATTGGTGATTTACATATATGTATTAGCTCATTTCAATTTTACAACAATCCTATGAGAAAGATGCTATTATTGCCCCTATTTTAGAGATATGGATACTGAAGCACCGAGTTTAAGTAACTGATGTAAGCTTACTCATCTAGGAAGTGGCACAACTGAATTTCACACACAGTACTCTGTTCCAGTGTCTGTGCTAACTACTGTATAAGTGTATGGTGAAATTAGTATCCTTATTTACTCCTTGTGGTATTGTTTATTTGTTTAACCTCAAAAAGTTAAATATAGAGCTACCATATGACTCAGTAATTCCACTCCTATATATATATATATATATATATACCCAAGAGAACTGAAAACATATGTAAAAAACTTGTCCGCCAATGTTCATAGCAGCATTATTCACAAGTGCAAGAAAATTGGGAACAATCCAGATGTCCACCAATTTTGAATGGGTAAACGAAATGTATTACGTCCACACATTAGAAAATTATTCAGGCATAAACAGGAATGAAGTCCTGAAACATGCTATAACTTGGATGAAACCTGAAAACCTTACGTTATGTGAAAGAAGCCAGATACGAAAGGCCATATATTTATGATTCTTTTTATATGAAATGTCTAGAATAGGTGAATATATTGAGACAAAAAGCAGATTAGTAGTTGCCCAAGGCTAGGGGAATAGGGAAGAATGGGGTGACCGCTAAGGGTACAGGGTTTCTTTTGGGGGTGATGAAAATGTTATGGAATTAGAAGTGATCATTTTACAACATTTTGAATATACTAAAAGACACTAAATTACACACTTTAAAATGGTGAATTTTATGGTATGTGAATTACATTTCAATTAAAAAATTTTTAGGCAGGAAGAGAACAAGATCTCAAGTCCTCTGCTATCATATTACACTGCCACATGGTGTCACTGTTGAGGAATGGACAAAGTCCAGACAAGGCTTGTAGAAGCTCAGTGATGCTCTGATGGTTCAGATTGCGCCCAGGCTACAAGTGTGTTCCATGATTTAAGTGTAAGTTTAAAATTCAGACCATGTTCCCAGATTGTGGGCAAAGCCATTCCACAATATTAACACTGCAGGGCTTCTAGCTTCAGCTCCACACACTGTGCAACAACTTGTCCTCCATCACAGACTGAAGTTTTTGGCTAACTCTAGTTCCCATATTAATGGAGAAATTCACACTCCTGCCAAAGCATCTGTCAAAAAGTAATACCTCTTAAACTTTCAAAAACTTTGTTTTTCAAAAAACTACTTTACTGATACACAGGAAAATATTGAATAATTTTCCTTTCCTGAGGTAGGAGACTTTCAATGAGTTGAGGATTTTACATCAATTCCCTCTAAAATAATTTATACTATTTAATCCAATATTTCCAGGCAAAATATTAAAATGCTATATGTACGAAGATGGTCATATGATGTTATTGACAGTAGCAAAAAAAAAAATCAGAAATACCCAACAATGGAAATTTTACTAATATTTCCTGACAGTCTTACACCTGTTAAAAATGGTACATATGAATGCCATTTCATATTTAACAACATGAAAATCCTTGTATCATGATGCAAAATGATAAAAAAGCACCTATTTGTATGTATGTGTAAAAACATACACACATACATTCACAAATTCATACAATTAGAATAATGCACATACCAGTAAATGTTACATTCATTTGATAATGAAATAAATTCTTTTAATCCTCTTACCCCACAGTCTATAAAATGTGTTCAATATCTATACCAAGATTTATCTCAATTACCAGGCTATAGATATATATATATATTCTCATGGTCACTTTTCTCATTTATACTTTAAAATTGTGAACAATATCACCCAAACAAGAGTATTTATAACGTATGTGAACAACTAAACCATCAAGTTGAGGTTAAGAACCATCAAGTTGAAAGTCTTGGTGTAATTAACAGTGAGAAGCCCATACCATCTCTAGGCTAAAGAGCAAGGGAGGAAAACATTTCCAGAGCTCCGTGAACTAGAGCCACTGTAGCCCTGGCCAAGAGCTACAGTTGTGGAGGGTCACAGCCACTGCCAGATCCTCAACCCAAAACAGAGAAGAATGGATAAAACATACCCTGCCTCTCTTTCCTCTTACCTCCAATCTCCTGTGGATGCCTCCATTGTTTAAACCTAAATGGAAACCCGCAGAGAGCCCAGGTGATGTTTTCCAAAAAGGTCAGCTTCTGAGGTCAAGAATAGAGCTGGGAAGGGAGGAAGGTGGATACAAGGGAAGGCAAATAGAAAACCCGGGCAGTCTACCTGCTTTGCCACCTAGGATTTATTCTTGCCCTTTGCTCAGATGAAGAGAAGCTCATCCCTTACACATGTGAGAATCACAGAGTCCTACCAACCACCATATTGCTTTGAGGTGATTTCAATTTGGGCATACTGTGACCTAGAAACTAAATATAATATTTGTTTCCACCAGTACTCTTCATACTAAGTAACAGGGAAAGAGGGGCAGGGAAAAAAATAATCAGTCAATGTTTTATATACAGAGTTATAATAGTCCTTGCCCCTACAGCTTGTTGCTAGGCTAAAATTGATAATCACAGCTTCCGACTTCATTCACTTATGTTTCCCTTGCCCTATGCAGTACCTTGGTACATTATGATTTTTTACCTGGTCTGGTGATGCAACACTTTAATTTCTGCGTGGTCTGAAATTTAAGTGGTCCTGACTTTATCAGGTTACTGCAGTTATCCAATGGTCATTATTATTGCAGATGGGAATATTAAGACGTGCCAAGTGAATCTCTGGATGTCATGCACAGCTCTCCTTGTCCTCCTATAGCTGGAACCCAATTCCCCGTCCATAATTGGGATGTTTTCCTAATTCTATCACTTTGAGGTACCAAAATAATCAGGGGGCAATTTCAGTTTCCAATTCAATAGAAACATAGCTGGACCCTCTAGTGGAAGCATTTCTTCCGTTTGAACTAGGACTTCCGAAAAATGACAAACCCAAGGTTGTAGACAAGGTGTGCTGGATATTTTCCATTTGTGTTTGCCCCTAGGAAATTGACCTTTATAGACTGCATGCATGGACCTGTCTCCTCCCTCTTTTGGCTTCCTGTCCACTCTCAACATTAAACCTATTCTGCAAGTAGAAAAGCCCTTAAAAATGTTTATAACTGGATTATATGTCTAACCTCTCATGGGACACATTCTCTTCCCCGAAACAGAACCAGCAATGGTGGTTAATAATCATTTCTGGAGAATGGCAGCTCATTCAAGTTTCATTAAAGTCTATCGAGGCTTGGCGCGGAGCAGAAGCATGGATTCTTACACACGTAGGTTACTGATAAAGCTCACTGTGGCCTTTAACTGAACATGTCGTTCTGCTTCCTCTTCCTCCTCAAAATCTCACAGCTGAGTCGCTGCGGTTTTGAATGTGCCCTTTTGACCCGCCCCTCCCAGGCTCCTGGTAGAAAAACACCGTAGGCTTAGGTGAGGAGAGCGGGCTCTTTAAAAAAAGTCAAGGGCTGCGCTGATTGGCTGAGGATCGGAATCCACTGTCACGGCTAGCTAATCTGGGAGGCGAGGCCGGGTTCCTGACGCTGTCTAAAGGATCCCAAGCCTGAAGGCCTCTGCCACCATTACCCAGTCCTCGCGTCTCCGCCGCCCGCTACCGAGTGAGTGAGCACCAGCCATGGGGGGCCGGGCCGGAAGCAGGCGGGTGGAGAGGGCGGGTCCGCGCGGCTGCAGCTGCGGCTCCGGGCTCCGGGCTCGGGTGCCGGGCGTGCAGGGCCGCGCTGGGCGCATGCTCCTTGTGAGCGCACGCCCTTGGCCTTCCTGCTCGTAGTGCTGACAAGTATCACCAACCTCTGTTCGGAAAGAGGCCGTTGGTTCCAGTGGCAAGGTCTCATGGCCTTTCCCGTAACATTGTAATCGAGTTGGGAAAGGAGACAGCATTGTCAACGGAAATCAGCATACTATGCAGGAAATACCCAAGTTACAGTAATTGGGTCCTGGGAATGCGGGTGGAGTTAAATTAGGGAAAGGCTCCCGGAAGCTGTAGGTTTCGGTTGGAATTTGCAGGGGAAGTGAGCTAGTTTGAATGGAATACGACATCTTGAAAATGTTAGTAACTATGCAACCAGTCATAAATGTACAATAGATAGTCAATGTGTAATTTGGTCAGGAATGAGTCAGCGCAGAAATTTGGAGGACAGAGATGAATCATAGGATATCCAGGTTCTCAGGGGTGACCGGAGGAAGGCTGCCAGGAACTTGCAGCCCCAACACTCCTTAGAAATACCCCATTCCCATTGTAATGTATAGCACAGCTGAGGCAAGACTGCAGCATTAAAGAGCACTTTTTAAGGTCTCAGGAGTAATCAAAGGAGAAGTGAAGGCAGCAGGGACTCAAATCAGCATTCTCAGTTCTTTGAGACACAATAGCGTCTAAATTGCGACATTTGTCACCAACAATAAAAGTGTTGAAATTTTCAAAAGACTTAGCTTATACAATAGAGTGAATTCAAAGCTATCCTATTGCAAGATCACTTCTTGCTTCTTTTGTTTTTTTCCAGATTTACTGGGAAATAATTGACATACATCACCATATACATTTAAGGTGTACAGCCTGATGTATTGACTCACATGTACTGTGAAATGACTACTACAATAGGTTCAGCTAACATCTACCATCTCATACAGGTGCAATAAAAAGAAAAGAAAGGAGAGAACAGTTTTTCTCCTTGTGATGAGAACTATTAGGATTAACTCTTAATAACTTCCCTACTTACCATACAGCAGTATTAACTATAGTCATCATTTCTGATATATATTTTGCGAGTGGGAGAGAGAAGACTGAGACTATTCTGGACACCCTAAGGAACCTCCCAGACTTTGGAAAACGGCTTTGTTAGTAGGGGGAAGATTGAAAATACTAAACTCCAGTGTGTAGTTTACAAGGTGTGGTGCACTCATTTTCAGGTGTGATCTCCCCTGAGGACCACAGGGAAGCTCTACTCCCTGGTTGGGCTTCTACCTTTAACCCTTGGGAACATTCCCTAACACATCCAAACTACAATCCAGACCCAAGAGAGCAAGGCCCAGAAAGAGATAAGCCTAAATCCTAATTTTTCAGTTACTGTTCCCTAGATGGCTGACATGAGGACTCTTCCTGCACTTCAGGGGAGATCCCACCCCTGAATAAATAGGAGCACTATAAGAGACATAGCTCTGTGACACACACACACACACACACACACACACACACACACACACACACACACAGAGAGAGAGAGAGAGAGAGAGAGAAAGAGAATGAATGGGATTAGAGGACAATTGTTTTCCTTATAAATGTTTGCAGTATATGTAAAACTTCAATTATCCACTCCTATATGCAGAAGAAAAATAAGAACTGGCAAGTGGCCTGAGCTATGTTTCTCTTATGTCACTTATTGCTTTCTGCACACTTTTATGGGAAAGAGACACCATGGAGACTGCCAAGATGGATAATATATTGCTTCTGCCTTTCTGGTCTGGGGCTGTCTGAATTTGTAGAAAGGAGAAAACTTATGCTAATCTCCCCACTCTCAGTGGGTGGCCTCCGGCTCCTGTCACAGGATGGAGTGGGGGCAGTGGCAGAGAGGGAGAGAAACCTCATGACCTCCCAGGCCTATCCAGGGCCTCTTCTTGCTGGTGAGTGATTTGGCCTCCTGTGCCCAACACTAAAGCTGACTCTGATCAGAGGCCCTAGTAATTCCAGGGTGCATCTTTGGGCCAGAATCCATGAAAGCCGCTGATCTGGCTTGTAGTTCCCACTCACCTGGAACGCCATTAACAGGGCTGACCCATTCCACCTGGCATGACAATGTGCTCGCCCCCTTCCCAATTAGCCAGAACCCAAATTTTCCTGAGAAGGATATGGAAAATACGAGCTTCCTACAGAATACTGTGAACCATGAGTAGAAAGCATTAAGACTGGCCACTCTGACACAAGGTTCACACCCTACTCAACAGCCTACCAAAGAGAATCAGCGACACTGTTGAGGAGGGCAGAGCAGTTGTTAACTTTTGAGTTTTGCATTCTTTTGAAAGTAAAAGCAACAAATGAAGGTCTTCTATACCTACCGGATTGGATTAAGAACAAAAAAATGGAGTTCTGGCCCATCTAGAGTTGACAGCCCACTTAAGAACTTCATAAGTAAGATAAATAAGATAGGCAGCACCATATATTCATTTAAAAATTGTATTTCTCAGGATATTTAATTATCCTTGTTTTCCCCTTTTGAGAATGCCAGTAGTAGCTTGAGGAGAACAAAGGTGAGGCTAGAGGAGGATGGCCAAGGGATGTCAGCAGTGGGTGGATGGAAATAGCGCATGTGTAGGAGAGGGGCAGGGATTACAGGAAGAGAATTGATACAGTGACCTTGAGAAATCTGAAGCTTCCTAAACCACAATGCAAGGAGCACAGAGAAACCTGTCCTCTAGGTGCACAATGCATCTTCTCAGAAACAAAGTTTCTCTCATCTAACTGGACAGAAGGATGGAGAGTGTCCACCCTGGCCCTCACAAAAGAGAGGGTTTTTTCCATTTGTTTGTTTTCAAGTATTCAGTTCTTCAATATTTACAGTAGGAAGCAAAATCAGGAGACATGGGGAATATGCTTATAGAGCAGAGGATTTTGGAAGTCATCCAGTTCAATCAGCGGGCTTTGGGCAAGTAAATGATAGCCAGGCCAGTTAAATTTGCCCAAGATCAGACAGCTAGTTAGGAGCGAGGACTAGAATCCTTGCTGTGTTGCCAGGTCAGAGATTTTTTTTTTTTTTTTAACATTGCCATAACCTCACAATAGCCCAACTCAGAGCATATGAGGATGCATGTAGAACATATTGTTTTAATTAAGCTTCTTTGACTTTTTACATTTTAGGTCACGATGGGGTTTATATTTTCAAAATCTATGAATGAAAACATGAAAAACCAACAGGAGTTCATGCTTATGAATGCTCGACTTCAGGTACATTTTTAAATAGTTAAGCTTTTATGCTGTTACATTGGTTAAGGTTTCTAATACGTGTTCCAGCAGTATGTTCTCTTTGACCCCAAAAGGTAAAATGCTCTTAGGGTTCCATCCTCAAAGCCAAGATGAAATGGATTATTAATTATCTAGTAAATGGGCTCGTTTAAATCTCCAATGCAGATACTTGTGTAAAAATCGCCATCCTATAAAGGAACAACTGCTTAGAGTGTAGGATAGGCAGAATGCTGCCCCCCCTCCCCCAAAAGATACCTACATCCTGATCCCCTGTGAATGCGTTTTCCTTACATGGCAAAAGGGACTTTGCAATGGGGTTAAGTTAAGGAACTTGAGATGGAGAAGATCCTGAATTATCTGGATGGGCCCAATGTAATCACAAAGGTCCTTATAAAGGAAAGAGGGAGGCCAAAGGGCTGTGGGGGTTGGGTGGGTGGGGGGGAGAGATTTGCAAATGCTATGCTGCTGGCTTTGAAGATGGAGCAGTAAAGGACCACGAGCCAAGAATTCAGGCGGCCTCTAGAAAATGGAAAAGGATACAGATTCTCTCCTAGAGCCTCCAGAAGGAACTCAGTCCCAGCAGCTCATTTTGGACTTCTGACCTCCAGAACCATAAGATAATAAATCTATGTTGTTTTAAGCCACTGAGTTTGATAATCTGTTACATAGCAATAGGAAATTTAAATAAACAGTATGTAAACTTGACACTGGATTTATACATAGGTTGGATAGGAAAGATCAAAGCAAAGAAGAAAACTGTTTAATTGTCTAATATACATGGTCAAAATTATTTTAAAATGTATGTCAAAATCAAATGTTAAAAGTTTCACAGGCATTATCTTCCTAAGATTTCAAACAAAGGTCTCTGGGCCTCTGTCATTCATTATGGCCCTAGGATAGAAAGATCTACTCTGAGGCAGTCTAATGAGTGGTTAAAAGTGAGGACTGAAGCCAGATTGCCTGGGTTTGAATCCCATCTCTACTCCTGACTAACTGTATGACTCGTGCCTCAGTCTCCTAATCTATAAACTGGAGGTGATAGTAACCCTTTTAGAGGGTTGTTCTGAGGAGTAAAGGTGGTAGAATATAGAAAGTATATAGAACAATGCCTCAAGTCTTTAGAATAATGTCTCTCTGTTAGTTTTGCTGTTGTTATTATTGCTATTAAAGAGTGATAAGAGTGTCTTATGCAGGATAATGATGTCTTTTGGGGGAATGGAACAACTGAAAGAATGGGCAACTGAATTATTGTAACAGAACAAAGTGACCTAGGGGAGACCAAACATTAGGCATATAAACCAGCCAAGAATGTCACATACTCAGAGAGTCCTTGCCTAAGACCTTCGGAAACTACATGGCTTTTACTCTTACATCATTCCCTGTGAAGTCAGAGCCTGTGAAGGATCTGGGATTTTACCCTATTTGCAAGCTAACAAACCAGCCTGTTACTATTTCATGGACGCTGGCAGAACACAGGAGACACCTATGTTAGAGACAGAGGACTTGATTACTCATAGCACAGCAAGCAGCGTAAGCATGAGGCTGGTGTCAACTCCCCATGCCCTTCAAGTCCCACAGAGGGGACAAAGATGGGTTTAAATTGGTGCTGTGCCTTCAGTGGATTTGTGGCACCATTGAGGAACACTGGGCTTGGAGAACCTACTGCTTTTCTAGCGAATGGTGAGCTGGTGGGATTGGGGAGGGTTACCTACTTTCTCAAAGTTGTTCACTGCAAGCACAACCCAGAGAAATGGCCTGAGCAATGAGCAGTCTGGGCACTGCATTCTTGGCCGACCCAGCAAGAATGTGCTGGGACATTCGGGGCCTCTGGCGAATTGCCCCACCTGCCACCCTGCCCCTCAGCCCAAATGACCAGAGCTTTGAGAACAGCCCTGACTTCTGCGACCACCATAGCTGACGCTGAGGTCAAACCGTCAGGAGCACTATCAGCAACATCAGTTTTCAGCTTAGCTGAATCAAAGGTGAAGCCGGCCCAGGCATTTCAGAGAATCTCTGTGAATCGAAGGCCCTGTTGAGCCAGTAGCTTTGCTTCAGGTGGCAGAGTGGGGGATAAAGTTTTTCCCAAAGGGTTAGCTACTACTTTATGCAAATTTGCGATGTCAGTAGGGCCAGGCCATCCATGCCCTCAAATACATTTTAATTTGACCAGCAAATGGGCACTTTCCTTATAGTTGTCTTGTCCTAGACAGCCCACCCCAAAATGGGGATGTCAAGCCTGAGAGACACAAGACCTCCATGGGTCAGGTGTTCATTTTTAACAAGAACTCAGTAGTAAACAAACAGCTGCCTTACATTTTTGAAGGGGGCATGTTACAGGTTGAATTTTGACACACATCCCCACCAAATTCATATGTTAAAGTTCCAACTCCCACTACCTTAGAATGTGACCTTATTTGGAGACAGAATCTTTACAGTGGTAATTAAGTGACAATGAGATCATTAGGGTGGGCCCTAATCCAACATGGCTTGTGTCCTTATCAAAGGTGGAAATTTGGACACAGCAACACTCGTATAGGAAGAACACCATGTGAATATGAAATTGGCCATTTACAAACCAAGGAGAGAGGCCTGAACAGATCCTTCCCTCAAAGCCCTCGCAAGGAACCAACTCTGTTGACACCTTAATTTTGGACTTCCAGCCTCCAGAACTGAGACAATACATTTCCTTTGCTTAAGCTATTAAGTTTTGTGGTACCGTACTTTGCTACGGCAGCTCTAGAAACTAATATAGGATGTAGGTGGTGCTTGTGTCCGGCAGGTGGCGCTGCTGTACTTAGCAATGGCCTCTGGAGACTGGCTGTGATTTTTGTTTTTTTTTTCTCTGGGATTCTATATTGTTTCTATTAGAACAGCTGGAAGGGGTCAGGGAATCCCTGAATGGAGAGTGTCCTCTCAGCACTATGAATATTGGGTTGTCGGAAAAGTCATGACGTATTTTTTCTGTTTTTCGTTGCAAAAATGCGTCATGACTTTTCCGACAACCCAATACAATATAAGCAGGTAACACATCCATTTCATTATACATTTATACACAGGGGACACAACTGCAGTATCCTAAAGCAGCTCAAAAGCCACTTTAGTTTCCTTTCCTTACTGCAAACTTTGTTCGAACCCCATCAGTTGAATTCCGGTGATTTTTCTTCTGTATGGGAACACAGACCAAAGAGTTTAACAGAGGTGCTTCAGGGGTTATTTTTACAGTTTCAGGAATTATGCTGTCTCTCAGCTGGGGGAAACTGGGGAGTACAAAGGGGTGAGGGCAGCTTTTTGTCCTGTGGCTCCTTATCGCAGAATTGCTGCTGCTTCCTCCCCTGGGCACCCCTGGCCTCTAGAGAGCACTGGGGTTCAGGGGCATCATTCTTTTAGCCTCTGCTGGTGCTATTGCTCTGCCCTGTGTCCATGTTAAGAAATGTCCAAAACTGTAGAGAATTTTTATGAGTTTAGTTGAGCCAAATTGATGACATATGCCAGGAAACAAAATCGCAACAGATTGAGAAAATGCTCCAGAGAATGACAGTTTTGCAGCTTATTTTATATATTAAAATAAGAGGCAAGTAAGGAGAGTTATGTGCAATCCATTGGTAATAGATTAAAGAGTGGTAAAAAGCAAAGCAGGGATATCTCTGGGATTAGATAAAAAAAGTTAAAATGGAAAAACACATACTTCTTTTACATTGTTGGGCACAAGATAGTTAATAATTAACATTGCAGCACACAGAGATGGTATGCGTGGAACAAGATAACAGTGAGGGGCTCTGTGGCTTCATGCTCTGGTGCAGCGGCTGTGCCGTGAGGGGCTATAAAAGATTATTCTGAAATTTCAAAGGCATGTTATCTGAGATGCAAAAAGATAATAGAAAGAAACTACAGGCTTAGGATGTGACTACCCACCATGACCCACTTTTAGTTAGGAATTTTTTTGTTCAGACCATCCTGTGTGGTTACTTTCGGTCTCTGAGTTTGTAGGGCCCACCATGCAGGCTCCCCTGAGCTTGTCAGGGTTAGTATGAGGCCCCTTTTTCATCCACATATGTATCCTCAGCACTTTGGGCCAGCCTGGTGCTTAGCTCACCCTCCAGCCGTAAGGGACCAAGTAGACTTGGGTACCTCCACCCCACAGAGTCATAAACATTTCAATCCCTCCTCTCCCCTCCCTGATGTTCCCCAGCACACCCAGCCTTCTTCCCTGAAGCAGCTGAAGTTGGGGGAGAGATGGAGGGAGAGAACAGCTCGGTGCCAGTAAGCAAGCCTTTGCATCTACTCTCAGTCTCAAGGGGCCTCCCACCACTAGGTTCTGATGTTTTCAGTCTGCCCAAAGTTCTGTAACCTCAATGCTGACACCATTGTTTCAGCTTTGTGGATGCCCTGACCCATCCGCTGCAGCCATATTGCCTATCTCTTGTCGGGTGTGTGGCTTGCTGCCCCACTGTCATGGTAACATGCTTCCTTCTCCCACCCCAGAGGAGCATATGCCACAGCCAAAGCACCAGCTGGATGGCCTGTTTCGACCCTATCTTTTGTTGCTCAGCCTCATTTAACACATAGGACAGTGAGAGACCCTTATTCTACCCTCCCACCCTCACCACCACCTAGGCGAGAGCATTTCCTACCAGATTTCAGAGCGTCTTCTCACATCCAATAACCTGCCAGTGAGGGCTCTTGTCCTTCCTCTTTCAGAATGCCGTGTCTCTATCAGCATCCTATCTTTGTCACCAAAACAGGCAGGCCCTGTGAAGGGTCTGGGATTTTTCCCTGTTTGCAAGTTAACCAATTAGCCCGTTAGTGTTTCATGGATGCTGGCAGCATGAAAATGAGGTATTTTCTATGCACCCCAAACCCCATGGAAGAGATGGAGGTGTGCCTACTAGGACACCGAGGTGGATGCAGTGGGTTTCTGACTTAATCGAGGAACAGTGAGCTGTGGAATCTACTACTTTTATGATGAGTGGTCAACAAGTGGA